CCTTCTCTGTATGGACAGGTTGTTTTGTACATTTTTGAGTCCCTTAGCTGGCCACTAGCTCTTCCCCTGGTTCTGTCCTTCTGGGCATTTTGGACAGCAGAGCTGGATGCTCTGATGCTGTTTCACTTAAAATACAAGAGTCTGCTTCATCCGCCTCCTCCTGCCAGTGCTTCACTTAGGCTTTGGCACAAGAGTGCCTTGGGACTTAAATGGCTTTGAGATGTCCCTATTAACTTATTTCTTCCTGAGTTTATCAGGAGCTTAATATTTATTGGCCTATGCTGAAATATGGCTGTTACAGTAGAGGTGCCAAATTTGAGTGGTTTTTTAGTAACACCAGTAGGGAGGAGGGTTCTGCGTAAATAATTGCATCAAACCCAACGTACCGTTTGTCTGAAGCAAAAATAAAAGTAGGTAATGTTCTTTTCACCTGCCTTCTCTTTCCTCTCTCTCCCTCCCAAATTCCCTGCATTATTGCAAGATTTGGGCATAGATGAATGCTCATATAAATAGTTTTACAAAGCTAATTTAACTCATGTCCTAAATTGAGTTGTTACCCTGTGCTGGTCTGGACAGTAGATGGGGAGTAATGCAAATCTTGAAGAATATGATTGCTCCAGAAATTTCAGTGCTGCCTTGAAGAGGGGATACTTTCCAGACCAGAGAAATGTGCCTGTCCTCAGTCAGTGGTACTTTGTGTGCAGCAGGAAGGACTGAGCTTTTCATGAGCCCTTCTATCTAGCACGGTGTGCTCCATCTGACCTTCCTGTGGAGCTCACCTTGGAGCTGGTGTGCTTCCACTGGATGTCACTGTTGCTCTTTGGGAACACATGTAAAGTATTTTACCTGTAGTGAAAATGACTCCTCAAAATAGACTTTTAAAGGTATTTCTCTTTTCTTTGGATTAGTAGAATTGGGGTTCAGATTAACTGCACACCACCACCTTTGGGGGTTTTCTGCTGATCTGTTTTTAGGTGAATTTTTTCAGCTAAGATAATGAATGTGTTTGCACTAGGGAATTTTAATACATTGAAGGTCTGTGTTGAATTGAACACGTTGGATGTATGTGTTGTTTAAGAGGTGTGCTGTTGTTCTAGATACTTGAAAATTAATTCTTGGCAACATCATACTGTCTTAAAAAAACCCCACCAAAACACAAAACCCTCAAAAGAGTAAATACACTGTGTTATTTAATTGAAAGGGACTTAAAGGTAGACCTGAACCTATTCCCTTCACACCACTCAATGCTTCCCATCCACTCGAGAGAGGGGAGGAAAAGGGAGAATAAATATTTCCTCTGGACTGAGTTATAAGAATCCTACATTTTATTAGTAAGTGTAAAAATGAGGTGGGTGCTTATTGTATCAATATGTCTTCTGAGGATCACCATTTAAGAAGCAAAATGGCATTTTTTAGTTGTCTCATGCAGTTTCCTACAGTTGCACACGTGTTTTTTAGTTCATACCTGCCCCCCACCCCATGATCAGCACTGTAATTGCTGGCCAGGATGCTGTTTAGCCAGAACAATTTTCATAAGAGGCTCAGTAAGAGACCTCTGGAATGAAGGCTGATTAATTTTCCCCTTCCCCCAAGTAGTTGCCTTGTGCTGTCTTTAAGTGGTTGCTATAAATAAATCACTTCTGTTTTCCCTTTGTCACTGAGATCTGTATTGTATTCTGAAACTGCTCATCTCTTCTTCCTTTAATGTTCAGCTGCTCCTTGCTCTGCTCCCAGGGTGTAATACACAGATGTTGTAATAAGATATTTAATGGCAGAGACGTTTGTTTGGTTGTGCCAAATAAATTGTACACTTGAACTCTGACTGAAATGAATTAAACCTCTGCAGCAGTGCTGTTGTTTCTGGTGCCTGTCCCCAGGATTCAGCTGGCACTTTACCCACAGGTGAGTCAGATGAGAGCACAGATGTCTCTGCCTATAATCATGATGGTCATTGGTGCTGGGGCTGACACAATTTTGTATTTTTGCAATTTTTTTCTAAACCTGTTAGAGTTTAAATTCCTGATGGCTGGCTCAGATTATATAAATTGTCATTAGAAGGGCTCCTGGAGTATGGCTGTATGTTTCTAAGGGTTTTCTTACCATTCTTGGGAACAGCAGCTGATTTAGTCTGCTTTTACAAAACTTGAAAATGTTTCAATGTGGAAGCAATTTGGTTCTTCCTCAGCTAGATACACACTTCCTAGAACCGAGTGGTCAAAGACCTTGGTCAGCTGGAAGTCTCCTTTTTGGAAGTCACTGCTGTGACCCAGTGGTTATTTGCTGGCTGTGTCCCTGGTTTAGACACAGGCACTAACTCAGAGCCTCACTGCTGAAGGCTGCAGCTGTGGGATCTTGATGGTGGGCAGTAAGGAGCCTTTCAAGCAGCTGTGGTGTTTGAAATGGGACAGTATGCCATGTTGTCATGTTTCTGATTTTAAATGCAGATCTAGTTCTGTTCTTGGGGCTGTTGCCTTCAGGAGCCCCCATGGCCTTTCTGGAGGTGGCGTTTCGTGGGAGTGGTACATAGCTTGTGAGGTGAGCAGCAGAATATGGCATCTGACAGCTCTGGCTTCAACTTGACGTGATGAGGGACCACCTGACCCCTAAAGCAGTGTGGGAACATCTCTGCAGTTGCCTTTGCCAGACTCTTACACTTTGTGAACTGTAACAAAGAGAATATAGACTCAGAGTTCAACCCTGAAGCTTTTTATGAAAAGCTGTCTGACATATGCTGTAAAGATAGATGGAGAAAATCTGTTGGTACAGTCATTTTTCTGCTCTGTGAGTCAGCTTGTTCTAATGGGTTTTGAAGAGGATAGCTCATCATCATTTGGGGTTTTTAAGTGCAGGTTGTATGCAGCGTTAGCTCACTAAAATTTCTGCTGTGCCATGATTGACTGGCCTGAAGTTACATCATCAGCATAAGCTAGTCAGCCTTAAAATAGAAAGAAAATGTTTATTTTATGCTAGTACCTATTGAAAAGCAGTGGTTTGTGGTTTTTGTTTGTTTTCACTTTTAAATTTAAACAGCAAATAGTAGGTTTTTTAGACTGGATTGATCTCATCTCTGCAAGAACATATTTTAGTTGATGAAATCAATGCATCGGTGAGCAACCTGTAGCTCTTTGGCTTCCTGCAGCACAGGAGTAGCTGGAGTGTGGCTCCCATGCTGTGTTGGCCAGGGGCCTGTAGACAATCCAAATTATTCAAGCAGGTGGGAGGAAGGAAATGAGCAGAAGCCGGTGTGGCTGGTACCACCTGATACCCAGCTGCACCCCAGCCTGTGCTGCAGCACAGTGATCCCAGTGGAGCAGCTGGCACTAAACCTTCCCCTTCTTGCCTGCTCCTTATGCAAAACTGGCCATGTGAGGCTTAGCAGTAGGAGGATGGTTTGGTGGGCAGGGTCTGGAAGAATGGTCAGCTCCTCCTAGCAGATGGTGGCCAGCAGCAAGGAGTTCTGCTGTCAAAGCTGCTACTGCTGCAGCCTCTTATTTATTCTTCTTTTGCTCACCCCCTCCAGTCTCCACCTTCCCTAGGTGCTCATGTTTCTGCTTCTTATACTGCTTATTGCATATTTTGCCTTCATGTGGCCTCAATCAGTGGCTCCCAGCAGCACAAGGGTTTTTATATATATTTTTTAAATATATGAAATTTTTTTGTATGCATGTATATATCTTCATGATGTACTGAACAGTTTGGTGGTTGAAGTTATGTGAGCTGGTCTTGTTGCAGTTTGTTTGCACATCTGCACACAACTGGTATCAAATACAGAAAGGAGCAGGTAAATCAGTACTGTGCTGGTGAGAAATGCATTCATGCTCTTGCATAGGAGAGAAGAGACAGAGGCAAATCTTTGTTTCTACTTAGAAAAAGTACATGTGGAAGAACTTTTGGAGTTTGTTTTTCAGTCTGTCAGAATTCCTTGCTTTGTTGATTTGTAACTCAAAATCAACAAAGTAATCAACTTTTGTTGATGACTCAAACTTTGTGTGAGTAATAAGTGCATGGGATAGAGCTGCACAGGCATTGGGCTATGGAGAAGTGTTTTGAGAGCTGTGATGTTAGCTTTCAATTCAAATTTTGTCCATTCATGTAAATTGAGAAGCTGAAGTCTGCAGTTGCTTAACCAGTCCTTTAGTTAAACTTCTTTGTACTGCTTCTACTGTCAATATTGCAGATAAACAATGCAAATAGTGTTTGTTCTACAAGAAAGATACCATTCTGAAAGAAAAGGAAAGAAGAATAGGTTCTTTACTAGAGATCTATTTGTGTTTTTCAAACTTAATTTATTCTGAATGAAATATTCAAGCTTGCATAACTAAAACAGTTGAAACTTCAAAGTAAACTTGTTCTTAATCTCGTTGAGGAGGAAAACCAGTTCAAAATACAAACAAAATGAAAATTACTTAATCAAAACAGTCCCAATGCATACTGGGACATCTTGCTTCTGCTGAACTTAACTATGGTACAATGTCTTTGCCTTCTTTAAGCTACCAAACATGGAGAGAGGCTTTAACTTCACTGTTAGAGTGAAATAATCAGACTCCTCTGGTGTAGCTTACTTGATTCCTGTCACTGGGATGTAGTGCTTCCCTAAGCAGCTCCAGTAAGTCTTCACTTACCTGTAGTCTGTGCCTGTGTGCCACAAGAGCACACCAAAGTTCTTTGCACATAGAAAACTTGAACCTTGCAGGATTGCTTCAAGATTTTTATCTAAGGCTTGCCTTTCCTGGTGGTAGTTTAAAAACAAGCAAAAGCACACACAAAAACCCCCAGAAAACAACAAAACCACCCTCCACCTGGAGCAGGCAGACAAGTCAGCAGAAGTTTTTCTTTTCCAGCTGTGGCAAGAACAATTCCTTTCCTCCTTTGCCTGTTTTTAATAGCATAGACTGTCCCAGCATAAACTGTCCTTTGCTGTTTACCCTCCATGGAGCAGAAATCCCTGTGCAGTTATTTGCATTGCAATAGCAGATTATGTCTGTTTATTTTTTCAGCAGTCAGAAATGGATGGTGGCATTCATCATAAGAAAACAAAAACTCAGGATTCTGTTAGGACCCATGAGCAGCAAGAGGAGGAGACCAGTATTGCAAATACCCTGGAGCATATTATGGGACAGCTGGATGTTCTGACTCAGGTATGGTTTGCTTTTTAATTTGTTATTGACAAAGGCACCTGTGACTGGAAGAATTGGGAATGTTTTGCAATAGTTTTATAGAATAATAACATGGCTAGTTCAAAACCTCTGCTTTTTAGTAGTATTTTATTAAGTCTTTTATCATCTGCTTCTCAGCTTCTCTCTATCACCTCACTTCTCTATCAGCTTCTCTCTATCACCTCTCTTCCCTCACACTGACTTCCACCTTAGGCCCTGCTCTTCCCCAGTTTCTTTGTGCTGCAGCATGGTAGATGCTGCTGGAGCCAGCTCTGATAGACTGTGCTGTTAGCCAGGGTTTATCTAAGGTGATGCCTAAAGGATTGGTTGGCAGAACAACTCTGTTTTGGTGAATAATTTCTGTCTCCCTTCCCTCCTCCGTTATACCACAGCCTATAGGTGAACCCTGTTCAGATCCTGCTCCTTTCCCCCACCCAGCTTTCACCTACACAGTCCAATCTCTGCAGAATCCTCCTCCCATCAACAAGTCTGGGCCCTTCTGTGCCTCATTGCTGGAACATGTTTTTCACCCACAGCTACAAACAACTAATCCCTTGCTAAAACATTAACAAACAGTTCTTTCTTGGAGTCAATAAGCAGTGTTTGAACAGAGCCAGCCATGAATGGTGATCATCACAGAATGTGTTTACTTAATAAGAATTTGGGGATAGAAATGTTTTTTGATTAACTAAATTGCTCATTGTGGAGACATACTGTTTCTGGTGGGCTGGACCTGAATTTCATTGTGTTTTTTTGAGGTATGTGAGAAGCAGGGAGAAAGTACAGAATGGCAAACATTGGAGGTCTCCTGTAGCTGAGACTATGGTGGTAGGATGGAAAAATCTGTTGGGAGGGTTTTTCTGTGAGTTTAAATACTGTTTCTGAGGAAGAACAAGTAGGTCTTAAACTCTTGGTGTTGAACATACTGATTAGTAGTCTGAGTTAGCTCTCTGCTCTTGAGAGAGTTAACTTGTCAAAGTACTTGTCAAAGAATGTAAGATGATGGGTTGGAGGGCCCATCAGGGGATTGAAGGCTGTTTTAGGGATTAAAAAACATGCCACAGCTACAAGCAGTCTAAAATAGTGTAGGATGAAACCCAAAAGGTATTTAGGTTCACTTGGCAGAAATGCAAAAGAGCACTTTTGCTGTGATCTTTAAAACACTGAACATTGGAGGAGGGGAGGGAAATCTTGTGTGACACTGGGCCCTTATACTTCTGAGTAAAAAGCAACCCAGTGTATACACAAAATATTTTAATACTGTTTTTACATCTCCCTAGTAAGCTTGGAATGTGATTGTTATCTTTCATTACATTAATCACATCCACATTTCTGATGATGGATGTGTAATGGCTCCTTTTCAACTTCATAGGTGTTTAGAGGAGGCAAATATTGCAGTAAACAGTGTGTGTGGGATTTAACCTAAATATAAGCAATGCAAATATCTCTGTCGAAGATATTGTGTAACTGTAGAAAATTCTAAATGTTGTTTTAAACCTAGCAGAAAGAGAAATTGAGATCAGTGGGGGAGGAATAAATTAGTAAGTTATAGGATAAAATTGGAAATAGCCCTGAAATAGTAAAAAACCAAAAAGCTGCCTTGAGTAACTGTGTTCTTCAACCTTTTACCTTTTTTGTAGCATTTTTACCATCTTTGAAGTACTTAATTTCCCATTGGTTCTGCTCTGTGTATGTTGTATTAACACCATTTTAATGCATTTGTACAGGTAGGTGTTCCTGACGTGCTGCTTTCGTGCCAAGGTTTTGATATGTAGCAGCGACACAAACTGACAGCAAACAAAACCCTCAGCAAATGAACCTGGAGGAATTCCTCATTCCTGGACTAAGGCAGAAGGCACCTCAGTGAGGAGGGATGTGGGCAGTAGCAAAGGAACTGTGGAGGGCATTGACTTGCATGTCTGAGCTTTGGCTTTTCCAGCTTGGGCTGGTAGGAGCAGGGAATGCAGCTCCAGCAGAGCCACTGTTACCCCTCCTTCATGCACTGGATGTGCTCTGGTAGGAGCTGTGGTGGGCAGGGATCCAGGTGAACTGGAAGCAGTGCCTGCTGGTGTTGGTTGTCTTTCCAAGGCATTTCTGCCAAAGGACAAATGGGTGCTGCTCCCTGCAGGCAGCAGATTCAAACCAATGTCTGTGTGTCAGCTTTGGGCCTGCTGACTTCTTTGTGAAAGGAGGACACCACTGCTTCTTCAAAACAACAGAAGGCTTTCATGAACAGCACTTAACAGGTGTCATTGTTTTCTCTTCTTGGAGAAGGGCTGAAGATGCTCCTAGTGCTCTGTTAAAGTCATAATTCCTGAGTATTGTGTGTTTCAAGGGAACTCTAAGGGCATAAGCAGGGCCATCTGCTTGAAGGGAAGGAGCGTGTGACATTTCCAGAAACCCTCTGTTGATATAGCCATCCATGGGCTTCTCAGGAATTTAATCTGTTAGCTCCATGGGAGCTTGGATTAATTTCTGATGTGGTATCCTGAGTTTCTGTGTTCATTGTTCTTGTTATGGATGCAAGGCTGTGTTGCTGTCATGTAAAGTACCGGTGGGGGAAGGTTAAAGTTGTGATAAATTTCTTTGGGAAATTATGCAGATCTAAGCCAAATTTATTTTCCAAATATTTTTTTCTCTAGCTGTCATTTTAAGGTTTAAACCTGGTATCATGTAGAAGTGGGAAGGAGAGAAAATACTTCCAATTTCTGCTGAAAGAGGTGATAGTAAGACATCAGCTGTGGGCTGTCATCTCTTGCCAGCACACAGCTTTGTTCTGAGCTGCACTTGAAGCTGCATCCCCAATTATTAGTACCTTCCCTCTGCTGGCAGTAGATTTCCAGATGAAATGAGGTGTCATGTGCTTTGATTGAGTGAGATTGTTTTTGTTCAATTCAGAGGTCTCTTCCAGCCAGTCACCAGTCACTGAGGCTGTGGAGGTGTTGTGCCCTGCACAGGAGGATACACTGAAGCAGACTTGCTCCTTCAGCTGGCCACTTCAGTTCTTATCAGAGAGAGATGGATCAAAAGAACCCAGTGGCTGTTGTGTAGCACAACCAGCAGTAACCATGACAGTGAATAGAAGATTTGCTAAGCTTCCTTCTTATGTTGCTGATATGATTCAATTCTTTAAATGCAACTTTCTTTCAACTGGTCTTTGATTCAATGAAACCTTTTTTTCCTCCTCCCCAAAGCTCTGTCAGGATATCTTTCATTTTACTTTTAAGAAACTGGGCTAATGTGACCTGACAGGGTCTTCATATTTTTTCCCAAAAGCAGTTTGTGTTTGGCCTTACATGGCTCTTTTTCAGAAGAGTAGCATATGCTTAATAATTCTGCTGCCTTGAAGAGTGAAGTTGAGACCTGGACATAAGCCAGTTGTTCCCAGTAGTTTTGGATTACTTAGATGCCCTGGTTCCCCTCTGTAGGAAAGCAGGCAATTCACATCTGGCAAAGGAATGAGGAAGATGAGAGTAATGAATGTATGATAATGATAATGATACTGATGCTTTTGAGGAAGATGAGAGTAATGAATGTATGATACTGATGCTTTGCTCCTCCCTTTCCTGCAGCTTGTCCTCTTGTCACTGTCTCAGTGTTTAAAAATCCTCTACTGGCATTTCAGAGATGTGGAAAGGATGAAAATGGAAACTGTTTATCAATTTATTTGTTTCTATTGAAGACTGGATCTCAGTATCCCAGTGCCTATATGAAGAGTAGGGGTGAATATTTAAGTTTAAGGGGAAAACAAGGTGATTTTCTCTCTTGGATAATCTGACACAGAAAGGTGTATTTTGGATGAAACAAAAATGTAGCAGATATGAAGGATTTGCTTGGTTCAGGTGCATTTCCTGCATTTACAGCTGAGCTGCCCTTCTGAAAAGATCACCTGTGAGTAACTGTCTTGGCTGCATTTGCAGTCATCATCTTCAAACAGTTTAATGTTCTCTTGTCCTCACTCCAAACACCTCCAGCTGCTGTGTTCACTCTGTTCATCTGTGGGCAGCAGGCACTGAGGCAAAAGCTGCTGGTTTTATGTGGGAAGGAAGATGTCTTCTCTAAATGAAGAGTTCAGAACCAGGTTAGCATAAAAATTCATAAATAGCTGCGATAATCCACCCACAGGAAATGGCTTTATATGCTTCCCCAAACTAATCTTGCATTGAAGCTGGGAGAAAACAACACAGTGAAATGGAGAAGACTTGATAAATCTGTAAAATAATCCAGAGCCTGAATTGAAGGACAATCTAGCTCATGTGAGATTAAAGGATTATTTCACTCCAGAAGATTGCAGGCGGAGAAAGAATTTTTCTAAATTTTTTTTTAGCGTAAAAAAAGACTTGGACACAAGTAAATTGCTTTTCAGTTAAAGCTGAAAATGTTTGTGTGTCCAGTGCTTAGTAATGAAAGTGAATAAGATGAAATTTTTACTCCTTTTTTGAGATGCAGTTTCAAGCCTGTGTTGGTGAGGGATGAATGTGGTCTCTCTTTTGAGAGGCACTGAATGCAAATTAAGAAACTGGTTTAGTATAATATATACTTTATGACTTCAAGTAGTTTCAAGTCAAGAAGAAATATTTGGCAGTGGTGTGGGGATCATGTCCCAAGTGCTTCTACCTTTGCTGTGCACAAATATCTTGGTTTCTGTGTTGCTCTCAAGACCTGAACACCGATGGACCCAATATACAGGAAAAAACTGCAAGTAATTTTTATTCCAAGAGAAATAGTTTGAAATCTGAAACACTAATAAAAAAGTTCTCATCTGAAAATCTGTGGAGTGTCAGATGAGCTTGATTTTTAAATCTGAATTTAAAAGACATAGAGGCTATTTCTTGTGAATCAGACCCATCTCTTAGCAATTCAGTTGCTTTGATCTCTCACTCCAAACAAATTAAGTACCCTAGTTATTGCCAGTCCTCTGTGTCATTGAGCAGAGCAACTTTTTTTTTTCCCTCTGAAATTTACTTCCAAAATATGCTTGT